AGCCAGAAAAAACCTACAACAACCAATATAACCTTTTGTTTCCTCTTTCTCTGTGTATTTCCCCTGCCGTCCCTTTTATACTTCCCACTCTAACTGCACTCAGAGACCGAATTCCTCAAATCAGAGCATGCCATAGAGACTGGAGATGCTCACACAGATGTTTTAGATTTGCATAATGCTTTCCATACCCTGGCTTTTGGAATGTTTATTTTCTTTCCTTTTGTCTCAGAAGAAATGGGGCCTAGTCCCCCTCACCCCCTCCCATGCATGTGAGCTGACTTCTGCTGAGGTCATTGGGAAAATTCATTGGAGTTTAAGTAGCAATGGCAAGAGACAGAAAGCATCTGATGCTGTCTGCTTTCAATAAGGCACAAGGATTCGGGATGTTTTTTTCTGTACGGTAACTTTAAAAATGGGGTGAGGAACCGCTGCAAGGAGTCTTGCAGCTCGTCTTGAGTTCTGACCAACTCCCTTTAAAGTAGAGTTCTTCCTGAAGATAAATGCATTCAGGAAAACTGCTTTTCAGGCACATTCCTTCCTCTCGCAGTGAACTCCCTTAAGCACTTCCCTCTCATCTAAAGCACTGCCATCTGGACCTCCCGTATCTGTTTACATTTATATCCTGGAATATGTTCGGTTCCCTCCCTGCTATCCCCCGAACTCTACCCAGAGAGCTCTAGGAGGCTTTGTGCAGGAGATCTCAGTCCCAAGGGCATTGCTACCTCCCCAATATAAATCTCTGCCTTCTGGACCGTTTCTGGCGAGCAAAGCTTCGAGGGCACAAAGCAAAGGACCAAACTGAAAGGGGGAAGAAGCCCCAGCAGAGAGGCTGTTCTGGCACAGCTGTAGCAGGAGCTCCAATTCTGTTTGCTTTGCATTGAATGTTTGTTTGTAGTCCTAAGTTTCAGGGACTCTGCAGATAGGCGGCTTCTTTTGGCTGCAGTTATAGGGCAAGCCACCTGCCCTCATTGTTAAGTTTTGGTCCTGCCCCCTGTTCAGAGTAATTGGGAAAGGAAGTGAGCCATTTTGTTAGTTAGTCTCAGCCAGGTTAGCTTTTGTATAGGATGTGTGTAACTTCCCCTGTACAAAGGCTTCAACCTTTAAGAATTTCCAGGGTTACAGAAATTCCAACAGAAGGGAAAGACTTCCTGGGGGAGAACAGTCTTAAGAGCATCTAAAGATTCCCAAAGGTTCCAGGGAAACAGCCTTACAGCCCTGAGGAATTTCGGAGGGAATAACAGCTTTAAACATCAAGATCTCCAGCTAAGTGATTACAGGCCTACTGGTACGTCCACTCGGTTTTGAGACGCAGTTCAGCCCGGTAGTGGATCCATATCAGTCAGGTCTAGGTTCACAGTTAGTCTGGGAGGAGCTAGAAAGGGATTTTCCTTGAAGGTAAAGCAAAGAAACAGTTAGAAGCCACCAGTTGCTTGAAGCCTGGAAACATTTGTTTAACCTTTGAGGACAAAAGAAGTTTCTGTTTAATTGTTCATCAATAAAAGACTTTGTTGTATTTAAGCTTAAGCCTTCTAAAGACTGTTTAATGGGGGGAAATTCTCTAAGGGCTTCTCTTCAGGGGCCCTGGCTTCCCGTTGGGCTAAAATTGCATGTTCTGTTTTAAAAGCACTTGGTTTCAAGCCCAGCGGCGACAGAACAGAGGCCCTTCCTCTTTCTCCTGATTCCTGAACGGAAAAAGACCCAATTTGAAATTGCTATATTTCTGCAACCACAAATCCGCCCATGAATGAAACTCTTACTCCTTAAAGAGGTGGGGTATATTGTTTCAAAGGATTCCTGCTGAACGCACTTCTCAGTCCATAAACATCCCCTTATTTGTAAAATGGCGACCCTGCAACATAAGGGAGCCTTAATTTGTGGGGTATTTATTTGTCGTGTCAGGGCAACCAGTCAATTATATTACATTTCTAACAGAACAAAGCAAACAAACAGACAAAATACAGAATTTGTGAGTTTGGTAGTTGATTAAATGTCCTTTGACCAGTATCTGGCCACTTGGAGTGCTTCTGGTGTTGCTGCAAGAAGGTCCTCCATTGTGCATGTGGCAGGGCTCAGGTTGCATTGCAGCAGGTGGTCAGTGGTTTGCTCTTCTCCACACTCGCATGTCGTGGATTCCACTTTGTAGCCCCATTTCTTGAAATTGGCTCTGCATCTCGTGGTGCCAGAGCGCAGTCTGTTCAGCGCCTTCCAAGTCACCCAGTTTTCTGTGTGCCCAGGAGGGAGTCTCTCATTTGGTATCAGCCATTGGTTGAGGTTTTGGGGTTGAGCCTGCCACTTTTGAACTCTCGCTTGCTGAGGTGTTCCAGCAAGTGTCTCTGTAGATCTTAGAAAATTATTTCTAGATTTAAGTCATTGACGTGCTGGCTGATACCCAAACAGGGGATGAGCTGGAGATGTTTCTGCCTTGGTCCTTTCACTATTGGCTACTACCCCCCGGCAGATATCAGGTGGTGCAATTGGTTGAGGTTGTGGCTAAGCAGTGTAATTTCTCCAGTGGTGTGGGGTGCAGACACCCTGTGATAATGCGGCATGTCTCATTAAGAGCCACATCCACTGTTTTAGTGTGGTGAGATGTGTTCCACACTGGGCATGCGTACTCAGCAGCAGAGTAGCACAGCACAAGGGCAGATGTCTTCACTGTGTCTGGTTGTGATCCCCAGGTTGTGCCAGTCAGCTTTCGTATGATATTGTTTCTAGCACCTACTTTTTGCTTGATGTTCAGGCAGTGCTTCTTGTAGGTAAGAGCACGGTCCAGAGTGACTCCCAGGTATTTGGGTGCGCTGCAATGCTCCAGTGGGATTCCTTCCCAGGTAATCCTCAGAGCTTGGGATGCTTGTCTGTTCTTAAGGTGAAAAGCACATGTCTGTGTTTTAGATGGATTAGGGATCAGCTGGTTTTCCCTGTAATAGGCAGTAAGAGCACCTAGAGCTTCGGAGAGCTTCTGTTCAACCATCTCAAAGCTCCCTGCTTGAGTGGTGATGGCACGATCATCAGCATAGATGAAACTCTCTGTCCCTTCTGGCAGTGGCTGGTCATTTGTGTAGATGTTGAACATGGATGGAGCAAGCACGCTCCCCTGAGGTAGGCCGTTCTTCTGTTTCCGCCATCTGCTTCTCTGGCCCTGGAACTCAACAAAAAAGCTCCTGTTTTGTAGCAGGTTTCCTATGAGGCGGGTGAGGTGGTAGTCCTTTGTGATATTATACATTTTTCTCAGGAGGAGGCGGTGGTTCACAGTGCCATAGGCTGCTGACAGGTCTATGAAGACAGCTCCTGTAATCTGCTGCCTTTCAAAGCCATCTTCTATGTGCTGAGTCAGGTTCAGCACTTGCGATGTGCAGCTTTTGCCTTTCCTGAAGCCAGCTTGCTGTGGAATATATTATTAGATTCATTTCTGCCACACAATGATCAGAAGAAAACTTGATAACTCACCAAACCACCTGCAACTTTTTGTGCAATGGCAACATTGCCCCTGAAAACACATCACATTTGTGAAATGCACTGCGTTGACATATGACATCAGGCCCGTTCTTTGGAAGCACCATGTACATGGGATGGGGCTCTCCTCCCTCCCAAAATGCCTTTCTTTGGTTCAGCACCCAACTAGCGGAATCCCTTGTATCTGAATGAAGAAAGGCCCATTCAGCAACTCTTCTGATCAAGCAACCAGAAGAATCCTTTGTGTCTGAATGGCAAAAAGCCTATTTGGCAAACCCTTAGAATTATAGAATCAAAGAGTTGGAAGAGACCTCATGGGCCATCCAGTCCAACCCCCTGCCAAGAAGCAGGAATATTGCATTCCAATCACCCCTGACAGATGGCCATCCAGCCTCTGTTTAAAAGCTTCCAAAGAAGGAGCCTCCACCACACTCCGGGGCAGAGAGTTCCACTGCTGAACGGCTCTCACAGTCAGGAAGTTCTTCCTCATGTTCAGATGGAATCTCCTCTCTTGTAGTTTGAAGCCATTGTTCCGCGTCCTAGTCTCCAGGAAGCAGAAAACAAGCTTGCTCCCTCCTCCCTGTGGCTTCCTCTCACATATTTATACATGGCTATCCAGGCCCGTAGCCAGGATTTCGTTTCGGGGGGGGGGGGGGGGATTTTTTTCAGGGGGTTTCGGGGGGGCTGAGTTTGGGGACGGGACCTGAGTCTGAGTGAAAGAGGGTCTACCCTAGCAAACCTTTTGTAGCATTACCCCAATACCCCCATGCATATGGGATATATTGAGTGGTGATCAGATCATGATATGAATAAACATAACAGTTTAAATAATGCATCAGTAATGCCTTTTCGCGAACCACCATGAGAATTTGGGGGGGGGCTGAAGCCCCCGCCCCCCCTCCCCCCCCGGCTACATGCATGTGGTTGTGTGTGTGTGTGTGTGTGTGTGGGGGGGTTCTCTTCCATCTCTAGCATTCTGTATAAAGACTGCTGAAGATGACATTCTTGGAGAGCCACAAGCAAGAGCCACCCCAGGACTGGCTGTGCATCTGTCAAGAGGGCTTTGATGAGTGGCCTTTGATGGTGGTTGTGGTGGTTGTGGTGGGGTGGTTCTCTTCAATCTTTAGAATTCTGTATGAAAACTACTGTAGATGATGACATTCTTGGAGAACCACAAGTGAGAGTGATCCCAGGGCTGGATGTTCATCTGTTGGGAGGCCTTTGATGAGTGGCCTTTGGTGGTGGGGTTCTCTTCAATCTTTAGGATTCCGTATGAAGACTGCTTTAGATGATGCCATTCTTGGAGAGGCACAAGTGAGAGCGACTCCAGGGCTGGATGTGTATCTGTCGGGAAGTCTTCGGTGGGGATTCTTTCCAATCCCTAGGATTCTGTATGAAGCCTCCTGAAGATGCCATTCTTGGAGAGCCAGAAGAAATGAAAGAGAAGGGGGTTGGGGGGGGGTCTTTCTGAGGCCATTTCTGCCAGAGAGCTTGGCCTGCCCCCTTCCTCCTCCTCCTCCTCCTCCTCCTCCTCTTCCCTTCTCCGCCTCTCAGTCCTTCCTCTGGCTTGGAGCCTCCTCCTTCAGCGCCGTTGCCAGCGGAGGGGACCAGGCGGGAGAAAGAGAGAGAGAGAAGGAGGGAGGGGGAAGTGAGAGCGAGAGACAGACAGAGAGAGAGAGAAAGAGAGAGAGATGCTGCGACGCTGCCCTTGGTGAGCGGGACTCTGCGCCTGGCTCTGTCTCTAGAGGTGACCCGCTCTAAGGCGCATCCGGACTCTCAGGTGAGCCTTGACTCCTTGCTTCTTCTGGCTTCTGGGGGGGCAAAAGGGTGTCTTGGTGGCGGGGGAGAAGGGCAGGGAGGGGGGTTAGACACGTCGCCATGTCGGGCGGGGTGGCAGGGACAGAGCAGAGCCCGATACAGAGAAGTCTCTCCCCAGAAACGCAGCCAGGAAGGTGGGTTTTGCTTGCCTACAGAATCACATCTTGCACAACTTTCCCCCCTTTGCAACCTGGAAAGGTTTGCTGTCCCTGTCCCCACTTGGCACCAGACTCCTTGCGTATTCTCCCCATCTTTGGGGCGCTCTTAGGCATCTTCTCATCCCTCAACATCAGCAGAGTGCCATCTCCCCATCCCAAGACTCTCTATTCCTTAGCAAGGGGGTAATGAATCCCCTCCAGCAGGCATCACCACCCTACATTAGCCTTTGGAATTGCAAGATCTCGCCCTTCCTCTCTCACCCTTCCTCTGTCTTCTCCATTCATCAACCAAGCCATGCCAGTGTTGCCCTTCTTTCTTCCTTTTTTGGATGGATTTCATGACCCTTGGACCCCCCCCCCCAACTGAGAAATGCAGCAGTTTTATAGAAACCCATTCATTGACCATGGGCAAGTCACACTCTCTCAGCTTCAAAGCCAACTGCCTCAGAACAAAGCCAAAAGGACGGTGACGGAAACCAACATGGAAATTGAACCGCTCACAGAATGTATTGTCGAAGGCTTTCGTGGCTGGAATTACTAGGTTGTTGTGAGATTTCTGCACTGAATGGCCATGCTCCAGAAGCATTTTCTCCTGACGTTTCACCTGCATCTATGGATTGGGAGTTCTGTTTGCAACTAGGAAAATGGGATTTTATGTATGACCGGAATCACTTGGTTGCTGTAAGTTTCCCAGTCTGTATGGCCATGTTCCAGAAGCATTCTCTCCTGATGTTTCACCTGCATCTATGGCAGGCATCCTTAGAGGTTGTGAGTTCTGTTCGAAACTAGGATTTTATGTATGGCCGGAATCACTTGATTGCTGTGAGTTTCCCCGTCTCTATGTCCATGTTCCAGAAGCATTCCCTCCTGATATTTTGCCTGCATCTGTGGCAGGCATCCTTAGAGGTTGTGGGATTTTATGTATGGCCGGAATCACTTTGTTGCTGTGAGTTTCCCGGTCTGTATGGCCATGTTCCAGAAGCATTCTCTCCTGATATTTTGCCTGCATCTATGGCAGGCATCCTCAGAGGTTGTGAGTTCTGTTCGAAACTAGGAAAATGGGATTTTATGTATAGCTCGAATCACTTGGTTGCTGTGATTTTCTCGGTCTGTATGGCCATGTTCCAGAAGCATTCTCTCCTGACCTTTTGCCTTCATCTGTGGCAGGCATCCTTAGAGGTTGTGAGGGAAACTAGGAAAATGGGATTTTTTGGCCAGAATCACTGGGTTGCTTTGAGTTTCCCAGTCTGTATGGCCATGTTCCAGAAGCATTCTCTCCTGATGTTTCACCTGCATCTTCAGAGGTTGTGAGGTCTGTTGGAAACTAGGAAAGTGGGGTTTAGATTTCTGAGGAATAATGTCCAGGGTGGGAGAAAAAAACTCTTGTCCCTTTGAGGCCAGTCTGAATGTTGCAATTGGCAGGTTTAACGTCTGGATTCTTACTGCCTGCGGGAATCCTTTGTTGTCAAACAGACAAGAGTTCTTTTTCCCACCCTGGACATTCTACAGATATATAAATCCCTTTTTCCTAGTTTCTGTTGGAAACTAGGAAAACTAGAAAAATTGGGTTTATATATTTGTGGAATGCTCAGGGTGGGAGAGAAAACTCTTGTCTCTTTGAGGCAAGTGTGAATGTTGCAATTGGTCACCTTAATTTGCGTTGAATGGCCTAGCAGTTTCAAGGTCTGGCTTCTTACTGCCTCAGGGGAATCCTTTTGTCATCAAGCAGACAAGTCCTTTCTCCCACCCTGGACATTTTACAGATATATAAATCTAATTTTTCCTGGTTTCCAACAATCACACTCTCTCAGCTTCAGAGGAAGGCCACAACAACCCAGTGACTCTGGCCATGAAACCTTATTTTCCTATTTTCCAACCTCAGAGGATGCCTGCCATAGATGCAGGTGAAATGTCAGGAAAGAATGCTTCTGGAACATGGCCATACAGACCGGGAAACTCACAGCAATCCAGTGATTCCTGCCATACATAAAATCCCATTTTCCTAGTTTCCCTCACAACCTCTAAGGATGCCTGCCATAGATGCAGGTGAAACGTCAGGAGGGAATGCTTCTGGAACATGGCCGTACAGACCGGGAAACTCACAGCAACCCAGTGATTCCTGCCATACATAAAATCCCATTTTCCTAGTTTCCCTCACAACCTCTAAGGATGCCTGCCATAAATGCAGGCGAAACGTCAGGAGAGAATGCTTCTGGAACATGGCCAGACAGCTCGGAAAACTCACGACAAACCTCTCATAGAATCATGGAATCTTTGTTTTGTTCATGATTCCACAGATATATAAACCCTTTTTCCCAGTTCCAACAGACCTCACCTCTGAGGATGCTTGCCATAGATGCAGGCGAAACGTCAGGAGAAATGCCTCTAGAACATGGCCATATAGCCCGAAAAAAACCCACAAGAACTTAGTATTACTGTATTGTCGAAGGCTTTCATGGCCGGAATCCATGGGTTGTTGTAGGTTTTTCCGGGCTATATGGCCATGTTCTGGAGGCAATTTTTCTCCTGACGTTTCGCCTGCATCTATGGCAAGCATCCTCAGAGGTAATGAGGTCTGTTGGAACTAGGAAAAAGGGTTTATATATCTGTGGAATGACCAGGATGAGACAAAGGACTTTTGTCTGCTGGAACTAGGTGTGAATGTTTCAACTGACCACCTTGATTAGCACTTTGATGGCCTGGCAGTGCCTGGGGCAATCTTTTGTTGAGAGGTGATTAGATGTCCTTGTTTGCTTCCTCTCTGTTGTTTTGCTGTTGTAATTTTATATCTGTGGAATGACCAGGGTGAGACAAAGGACTTTTGTTTGCTGGGGCTAGCTGTGAATGTTTCAGCTGATCACCTTGATTTGCATTCAATGGCTTGGCAGCGCCTGGGGGGAATCTTTTGTTGAGAGTGATTTCATGTGCCTGTTTGTTTCCCCTCTGTTGTTTTGCTGCTGTAATTTTTGAGTTTTTAGTGATTCCAGCCATGAAAGCCTTCGACGATATATTATCACAGGATCTCTGGAGCCATCTGTTTTGGTTTACCAGGTCTTTCTTTATCCGTCTCCTCTTCCACTCATTCCTGGACCGACTTTCCCAGTTTGGAACCCCCCCCCCCTTTTTTTTTAGTGTTTGGAAAAACACATCACGTTCATTTGGGAGCCTTCTTTTCCCTCTATGAGTTCTGCAACCGGAGCCTTGTGCAATATTCCAAAGTGTGCCTTGATGAAGGCCACCCCGTTGGGATTTCACGCCAGGTCGTTCCTATAATTGCTTCCATTCCTTGGGAATGGAGGGAGAACAAAAGTGCAGCTGTTTGCTTGGGTCCCACAGTTTCCGAGGACGGCATCAGCACAATTCCATGCTCTTGGAAGGAAGAGGCAAAGAACAGGGAGCTTAATGCAGGCAAGAGCAGTGGGCTGTTCCTCCTCCTGCTGCTTCAGCATATTTTAAGGAGGCTCAGCACCCCAGGAAATATAACTTTCGAGTACAGTTGGAGAGCATGCCTGAGAACAAATAAGGTTGAGAAATGGTATTCCAGCACCTAAACTTGGAGTGGTGGGGAATGCAACAAAGACGGCATCGGCTCATGCTCAACGGAACGACTCCCCACCCCTCTTATGATTCATATGTGCTGGCTTGCTGAGCTGCAGCATAGAAATTCTATTTTAACCCCCAAACCCGGTAATGCAAATAGAGGAATTGGATGACAGGGAGAGACTATTTATAGGTTGTTCATGAGTTTCAGCTTGGCAGAAATGTACCCAGTTTTTCACCTTTGGGCAAATTCATTAACAAAGGAACTGTGACAGTGAGCTCTGTCAATAGGCTGGAGAACAAATGCTATTTGCAGTTGTGATAGGTGATTTCTCATTGTGGCCCGTTAGAAGGGGAAAACAAAAGTCTTTTCGATGTGTTGTTGAAGGCTTTCATGGCCGGAATCACAAGGCTGCTGTGAGTTTTCCAGATTGTGTGGCCATGTTCCAGAAGCATTCTCTCCTGACGTTTCTCCCACATCTATGGCAGGCATCCTCAGACTTGGAGGGACTCTGTTGGAAACTAACTACCTCAGCACACTAGAAAATGAATCCACTTTAAATCCGGTTTATTTATTTATTTACTCTATTTGTATACCGCCTTTCTCCGCCCGTAGGCAACTCAAGGCGGTTAACAGGGTAAAATTCAACAACCCTAACAACTACCATGTCGGACTACACAGAGAAGCCATTGAAATCCACAAGCATGTGGACAATTTCAAGAGAAAGGAGGAAACCATGAAAATGAACAACATCTGGCTACCAGTATTTAAAAAAAAACTCTAAAATTACAACAAACAAGGACATCTAATCACCTCTCAACAAAAGATTGCCCCAAGGACTGCCAGGCCATCAAAAGAGAAGGCTGAGAGGAGATATGATAGCCATGTATAAATATGTGAGAGGAAGCCACAGGGAGGAGGGAGCAAGCTTGTTTTCTGCCCCCCTGGAGACTAGGACGCGGAACAATGGCTTCAAACTACAAGAGAGGAGATTCCATCTGAACATTAGGAAGAACTTCCTGACTGTGAGAGCCGTTCAGCAGTGGAACTCTCTGCCCCGGAGTGTGGTGGAGGCTCCTTCTTTGGAAGCTTTTAAACAGAGGCTGGATGGCCATCTGTCAGGGGTGATTTGAATGCAATATTCCTGCTTCTTGGCAGGGGATTGGACTGGATGGCCCGTGAGGTCTCTTCCAACTCTTTGATTCTATGATTCTATGATTCTATGAAATGCTAATCTAGGTGGTCAGTTGAAACATTCACACC